ATCTTTTTGTCTGTGTCCTATTTCTGCTCAGTTCGATGTGATGAGAGCAATATCAGCATGGAGGAACTAAGTAGATATTAAAATGCTATACCCAAAAGTTCATTTCTTGGTTAGTGCAATCAAATGAGATCTGAAGGCCAAACAGTTGCTTAATTATGGATTCTTTAGATTGCATTAGCTGTTTTTGAACTATTCTTTTGTGTCTCTTGAATATGAGATCTGAAGGTAATCATATCTTATAGGCATGGCATGGAAGGCAAAGGCAACGTGCTACCCGTGCTGAAAAATTGAGGTTCCAAGCCCTAAAGGCTGATGACCAGGAAGCCTACATGAGACTAGTGAAAGAAAGCAAAAATGAACGATTAACAATGCTTCTATCGGAAACAAATAAACTCCTTGCTAATCTGGGAGCTGCAGTGCAGCGTCAGAAAGATACTGGAGATGGAATTGAACCTTTAGCAGGTACAGAAGGAGATTCAGTCGAGCTTGATGCCTCAAGGAATGGAAGCCCTGGGAGTACCCCAGAAGAAGATGCTGATTCTGATAATAATGCCGAGGACACCGCTGATTTACTTGAAGGGCAGCGACAGTACAACTCAGCCATTCATTCAATTGAGGAACAGGTAAATCCAACTCTTTAACTAAACTTTATTTTTAGTTTTTTTTTATGAATAATGGATTTTATTTCATCAAAACCAAAGTTTGTCCTCCCAAAATACAACTGCTAACTGTCTATATACAACGTAACTACACTATTCTGCTACATTCCCTTCTGCCTTCCAATGTAAAGCTCCTGCCATATATTCTACAAAATGTGGACACCCCAATTTCAGCTCTGCCACAGCCTTCATTTTATTAAATAACTCTTCAACAAACTGAATTGCTTCACAAACTCCTTGCCAATCCCTGCTTGGAGTATAAATCCAAACTATATCTCCAAATACCTTCCACAAGACCTGCTGCACATAAGCATGTCTCTAACTCAGTCAAACACAGAGGACATGTTGCATCTATGCCCAGCTTCCATTTCTTGATTTTGTCCAATGTAGCTATTCTCTTTTAACTAAAAATTGATATCACATGCTTACCTACTTAGCAAGGATGTTCTGCAATTTTGATGCTTTGGTGCTCATTTTGACACAGCTTGTATATGGCATAGATGATGTTGAAATCTACTTGCTTGAAATCTTAATACAGGTGATAGAGCAGCCCTCCATCCTGAAAGGTGGACAGTTAAGGCCTTACCAAGTGGAGGGCCTTCAATGGATGATCTCTCTGTTCAACAACAATTTAAATGGGATTTTGGCGGATGAGATGGGCCTGGGGAAAACGATACAAACTATTTCATTGATTGCACATCTCAAGGAGAAGAAAGGCGTCGCTGGACCACACATTATAATGGCTCCAAAAGCTGTCCTGCCAAATTGGATGAATGAATTTGCAACTTGGGTTCCTGAGGATGAGTAAGTATACAGTATCATATGAATCGACATTTTATCTCAATATTCAGAAATTGTTAACTTATATTTTCTTTCATGCTGTAGGATCAAAGCGGTTCTTTATGATGGCCGTGCAGATGAGAGGAAAGCAATGAGAGAGCACTTATCCAGAGAGGGGAGCTTCAATGTTTTAATCACACATTACGATCTTCTTATGAAGGACAAATCATTTCTGAAGAAATTTAACTGGGTTTACCTGGTGGTCGACGAGGGTCATCGATTGAAGAACCATGAGAGTGTCCTTGCTCGTACTCTTGACTCGGGGTATGTTAATAAACTCCTGTTTCACTCTAAAAACAGCTTCTTTTCCCCCCTGAAAGTTGTTATGGTAATAAGTTGCTCCAATGTGATTTTGACTTTGTGGACAGATTTCAGTTTCAGCGGAGACTTCTATTAACTGGAACACCAATACAGAACAGCTTACAAGAGTTGTGGTCGCTCCTGAACTTTCTTCTCCCGAGTATTTTCAATTCAGTAGCGAAGTTTGAAGAATGGTTTAATGCGCCTTTTGCTGATCGAGGTGACATTAGTCTTACTGATGAGGAACAGTTGCTGATTATTCGCCGTCTACATCACGTATGCCCATAAATTTCCATTTCTACCAGATAGATTGGTCGTCAGATGTCTGTATTCTAACTCAATGATCTGTGGTTTTTTGCAGGTTATAAGACCATTCATACTGAGAAGAAGGAAGGATGAGGTTGAGAAATTCCTTCCTTCGAAATCTCAGGTTATTCTGAAATGCGATATGTCAGCATGGCAGAAGGTTTATTATCGACAGATTACAGAGATGGGCAGAGTTGGGCTTCAAAATGGTCAGTACCATTCTGCAACTATGAACTCAAACTAAGGGCAAACATAATGGCTTTTTTTGTTTCTCTTATTTTGCTATCCAAACATCTGCTCTTTCTCATAGTTATAAGAACCGAGTTTTACAAGAAGTACTGTACAATGCAGCCATCGGATCCGACTGTGAAGTCGTAAGATTATAATGTCGTATGAAAATAACTACAAATGTTAAATGGTCAGCTATGATCAAATAGTCTCACGAATAGAATAAATGAATCATTTTATCAAATCTGTCAGTGTATAATAATCAAGATAAGTGAGATATGTAACATTTTATGAATATAATATGATTTAAGAATATTATTTTGACTATGTTTGACTAAAATAAAAATTAGTTATAATTTCTTAGAATCGCAAGATTGTAAAAAAGGTAACATTTTCCAAGTGTAGCGTAATTTTTGAAGAGTTACATAAAATTGTAGAATTTGAGGACCGTGCATTTTATAGTAAGATCTGGTAAAGTTTGCTCTGTGAGAGTGTAAGGATGCTCTTCTCTTAAATTCAATGAATTTCAGGATCAGGGAAGTCGAAAAGTCTGCAGAACCTTACAATGCAGCTGAGGAAGTGTTGTAACCATCCATACCTCTTTGTCGGTGATGACTATAACATGAGACAGATCGATGAAATAACTCGAGCCTCAGGCAAGTTCGAGCTTCTTGATCGCTTGCTTCCCAAGCTACGTGCCACTGGCCACAGAATTCTCCTCTTCTCACAGATGACCAAACTGATGAACATCCTCGAGATCTATCTGAGGCTTCATGGTTACATGTACCTTAGACTCGATGGCACTACCAAAACTGAGGAAAGAGGGGCTAAGCTGAAGCAATTCAATGCTCCAGACTCACCCTACTTCATGTTCCTTCTCAGCACCCGTGCTGGGGGGCTCGGGTTGAATCTGCAGACTGCTGACACGGTGATCATGTTTGATAGCGATTGGAACCCTCAGATGGACCAGCAGGCGGAGGATCGTGCTCATCGTATCGGGCAAAAGAAGGAGGTTCGCGTTTTTGTGCTGGTGAGCGTTGGTTCGATCGAGGAGGTGATCTTGGAGCGAGCGAAGCAGAAGATGGGAATCGATGCGAAGGTTATCCAAGCGGGACTTTTCAATACCACATCCACAGGTATGTAAAATATCAGACTAGAAAACCCACCCTTGTCAAGTCCTGAAAGCTTATTATGCTTCAAAATGAACGGCTCTTTTTGGTTTTTTCAACTTTTCACAGCTGAGGACAGGAGAGAGCTGCTACAGGAGATAATGCGGAAAGGAACGAGCGCACTGGGGAACGACGCACCAAGCGAGACCGAAATCAACCGGCTGGCAGCTCGATCGAAGGACGAACTCATACTCTTTGAGGAAATGGACAGGGAGAGAAAACGAAAGGAGAATTACAGGACCCGTCTCATGGAAGAAAACGAGGTCCCCGAATGGGCGTACAAGAACATCGGCAAGGAAGATAGTAAGCCCAGCAAAGGGTTTGATCACAATGCCGTGCTGGGGAAGCGAAAAAGGAAGGAAGTGATTTACGCCGATACTTTGACCGATCATCAGTTTTCCAAGGCCGTTGAGAATGGAGAACTTCCAACGGCAATGCCAACTCGGCTGCGAAACGAAACTCCTCCGCCACCGAGATCGGAAGGTAATCCAGTACTTGTAGGCCATTCTGGTGGTGCTTCTGCTTCTGCCATGAATGAAAGTGCAGCGACGACGATGAGTGAAGGAACTAGTGAAGAGACCACCACCACCACCGGGTACACTCCGGTAGCGCTGCCGAAAAGAATTGTAGCTGATGATGCGGTATATGAGCCACGGAGTGGAAGCAGCAGCGTGAATTGGAGCGGGCAGATACTGACTTGGAATACGCATAAGAAGAAGAGATCTAACTATCCTACTGCTCCGAGTTCATCGTCCGATTCAAGGAGCACAGAGTTCAGACGGCAGAGGTAATGTAATAATGGCTGCTGGATCTGATGAGATCCTGCTCAAGGAAAAACAATTAGGAGGGCATTGCACGGCATTACTTTTCTTGTTTGTTGATGTATTCAAGATGCAGTTCCAAGCTCAGCGTCCGATTGAAAGCTGAATGTATTATCGAATTCGGGTTAGCCAGCCCGTAACTGTGTAACATGACCATATTAGCAAGAACTCTGTATTTCATAATCTTTGCGTAAAATCATCCATCTTTTCCAGCCATTATCTTCCTTTAGGCTGCCAAGCGAAGAACAAAACTTCAGGAGTTGATGTAGGATCAGAATAGTGATTGATCTGACCAGGTAGAATAGGCTACGGTATAGTTCAATTGGATCGTCATTTCGTCTCCCGTATCCATAAGTCAAATCTAACATTCAAGTGAGTCCAGAGATGAAATCTCATATTACAGACCCGAGATTTTTCTTAAGCTACATCGACAGAGATTGCCTAGCAAAGGTCCACAAAAGACGAGCAACAAAACAGGATACATATATAGAATGAAAGCCAGGTTTCATTCGCGCATCTCTACCGACCTACTGAAGAAACGCTAAACGTTCATCATCAAAAGTGAGATGCCAACCTACAGCCCTGCTAAAATGCAAAGACTTTTAGCAGAACACGAGCAAAATAAAAACCTGCTGCAATTATCTTCTACATAGCCGCAATGACATAGATTAATGAAATTATTCATCCTCTTCATTGACCTCGAGATGCTTCAACTTGGAGTCCAACTCACGATCATCGTCGCCATCATCCTCCTCATCAGATTCCTCGGCATCACCTACTCCATCAGGGTCATTCTCGTCAAGCGGGCCAAGCTTTTCAGGACACTTTTCAAAGGCCTCCTTCAACTCATCAATCCCTTCGTCGGATATGAAATTCCCATTGATAGTCAGCAACTCGAACTCTGGCTTCTGAAGCACAACCTTAGCGAATACACGAGCTCCTGCCCTACCAATAGCATTGGTATTAACATCCACTCGCTTCAACTGTGAATGGCCCGTTTCCAAGGCCTTTGCAATCTGCACAGCACCTTCATCCTTGAGTTCGTTCTCATCCAAGTTCAACTTCTTCAGGTTCTGCTTCGATGCAATGCAAGCAGCGATACTAGGAACCGCTTCAATTGTTATATCGTTTCCCATCATGTCAAAGACTTCGAGGGATGGAGCTGAGTCCTTGAGTGCATCTGCTATAATTGTAGCACCTTCATCTTCCAAGTTTAGATAGCACAGATATATCTCGCTCAAGGAAGGAAACTTGGGAATTGCTTTGGCAAGAGCAACTGCAGCTTCAGTCCCGAACATATTATCTCTGAGGTCTAATGTCTTGAGCTTAGTGCAAGACTCTAGTGCTTCTGCCAAGGCTGCCCCACCTTCTGCTCCTACCCTTGTGGAGGAGCATTGGAAGTCCTCAAGCAAAGGGCAGCGCTTCAAGACCTGAGCAATTGCAAGTGCTCCTTCATCACCAGTCATGTTGTTATGGAAACGAAGGACCTTAAGTGTCTCAGTAGATGGAATCAGTTCACAAACTGCTCGCGCAGCTTCCTCTGAAATGCCATTGTTCATCAAGTAGAGCTCTTCGAGGCAACTCTGTGACTTGAGAAGTGCCTCAAACGCCCTGACACCTTTTTCACCCAAAGCATTGTCTGAGAGGTTCAGGGATCTAAGGATGCTGCCCTCCAACGCAGTGGAGAAAACGGTCATGACCTCAAGAGCTTCATCCTCTGACCTTCCAGCAATGAAATCAGACAAGTCAACTTCCTTTAACTGGTCCTTGATGGACTCCAGAACCGGTGCGGCAACACGAGCAGCTTCAAGACTAAAGCTCCTGTTGCTGAAGCATATCTTTGAATAAGAATTTCCAGGCTTCTTCAATGGCTTCAGAATTTCCTCGGTCTCCTCTGCCTCTATGAAAGATCTGGAGCCCTTGGAAATGTCAAAGAAAGTCTCGGGAGGTGGTGTTATGATTTCCACGCTGTCCTTCGGGCCATGGTCTCCTTCCTCAGACGGAAGATCTTCCATGTCTTCCTTTGGCACAGGGCCTCTCTTCAGGACATCCAAAATAAGCTTACTGCATTCTTTAGCATAAAGCTGTACAGCAGAACCTCCGTCACCATCTGGTTCGTTATCATACTGTTGGCTTGCAGCTTTGAAGGCAACAGCTTCGATCCTCTTTGCATTCTCCTCCGCTTCCTCTTTGCCCAGGGTCCCATACTTTTGAGCGAAAATGGACTGTGAACTCAGATTTCCCGCTACTCGGGCCACAAGCATCTGCCTTGTGTTGTCACTAGGGGGCCATAGTTTAATCGAAAATGGGCGGCGTTCGTATTTCGGTGATGTGGCACTGGAATCCATAGCAAAGAAACCTGCATAGACGCAGATATATATGAGAACATAACTTCGGAAAATGAAAAGCTTCCTCCAAGCAATTGCAGCTTATACGAGACTCCCATCAACTTTGAAGAGCAACACCCAGGAATCAATGTTTCTGGTAAATCAAGAGATACACCTTTACCCCAGCATATTGTTAACAAAAATCGCCATATGAAGTTCATGGAACAGAAGCAAGTAAAAATATCCAGATTGATTCCGCAGGTGCATAAACTAATATAAGCTTCACAGCAAAACCAGTCACTAGCTTAGTACAACTAAGGCACAAACTATGTTACGCCTTTTAAAAGATACAGCGACATTTCTCTCATAACGAAAGACATAAGCCAGTAAGCCACCGCAAAGATTGGATAACTACAATTATCAAATATAAATAACCAAGTAACCGGCTGCGCAATTATCGATACAAGATCTAGTTGCACACAGATCAAACCAGTTCCAGAATCAAAAGAACCCTTCAGGAAATCAAAACTCAATAAGCGCAATCAGGTGCAGCGAGGGCTAAAAGCTTGGACTACGACAGATCTATAGATGTAGTGAACCGTTCGAACGTTGCAGAAAACTGAATAAAACCCTAGAAGTGAGAGACAAAAAACAGCGACGTAGAAGAGCATAGAGAAACAAGCCAAGTTACCTTGTCTTTTCTTCTTCTTCTTCCTTATCTACTGCTTTTTTCTCGATCAGTTGCGTTCGTATATCAGCTATCCGAAGCAGAGATTGTTCAACGATGCAATGTGTTGGAAAGGCGATGGGAAGAGATAGAAAGAGAGAGAAGTGGAGGGAAACAAAAGAAATTCAGAACTAAAGTGAGACTGAACTGAACCAGCGACCTACGGACGGAGATGAGTGAGCCGCCTGCTTAGCTTAGGTTTTCTCTGCTCTGGCGCGGATCCAGTTGAAGGATATAAATGGACGGCTGACCGGGGAGGGGAGGGGAGGGGAGCGTGTCTTTTTCCCCCAACCTTAAACGTGGTTTTGTGCTGATTGATTGGTCCGTGAAAGAGACTAGGCCGCGAATGCTGGGCTTTGCTTCGGTCTGTCAGTTTTGGGCCGAGACTATACACGAAAGCATGACCAAAACTAATCGGCCCAATAGTAACAAGAAAACTTCACGATCCAACTTGCTGATAGTTTGGTGTCATAGGTTTAGGTTTTTCTACTGTTAGAAATTTTACAATGTTATACAGTATTTGTGCTATAGGGTTTTGCTTTTATGGTACAACTTAAAATTGTACGTTTACGTTATGGTACAACTTCAGATTGTACCCATACTTTTGATACAAATTCCTTTATTATACAACTTGAACTTGTACCTTTATGTGATGGTACAACTTCAAGTTGTAAAGTTGTACCATAACATAATGGTACAAATTGCTTTATGGTACAACATAAACTTCAAGTTGTAAAGTTGTACCATAACATACTTTTGATACATTTAATGTTATGGTACAACTTTAAGTTGTACATTAAATCACCAATACTATATAGCATAGTAGAAGTGACTGATAACTTCATCTTGACGGAGGTGCAAGCTTGTAGCAGGGCTCAGATGCAAATATACAGCCCAAATTTGTCAACCACAGGATCTCTTCGAGTTTTGTTTTGCCATCTCGAAAATCTTTGTTGAAAGAATCATATGCTGCATGCACGATACCATATTATTGCGCAACAGAACGACGAGAACCTCTTCGAATGACAAAATCGTCGCTCAAAGAGTTTCTTCTTACATAACACGCGTACATAACCTAACCATCACAGTCCCAGCAAAAAGAACAACGCAGGCAATGATTATGAAGGGGATGCATTCATACCCCAGCCAGCACCAGAGAAAGAAGGCGATTAGCCAATTACTAATACTGAACAGCTCGCTCTGCTGAGCACACGCTATGCCACGCCAAGGCACTCTTTCTCTCTATCAAATGGAGATGATTCTGAGCCATGTCGTGATGACATCAAACCACTATTCGGCGGCTCGTCGTCAGCAAGAAGAACGATCTACCACTTCTGTACAACTTATCCTAGTTAGAAAGATCAAAGAAACTGGAGACCGGTCGTCGTCTACAGCCGCAAGTTATGTGGGTCAGGTTTGGTCAGTGCCTTCCCAAAGTAATTCCTTATGTCTGGTATAATCCGCTGGATCAAGTAAGAGTGCCTGCCAGACGCACTCAACAGCAAAATTTTACGACTCGATGAGCTCCTCAAAAAGTGCTATGAAGTTACCAAAAATGAGCTTGTGAACATGAATAAGGACATGATCACGATGTGATTGACCAGAGAAACATACCTGGGCTTAGCACTCAATTTATCGAAATGCTCCAAGATGAACAAGATGCAAGTGTGCCTCAGTGAAAAAGCATGGAAGGATTCTGAGAGCTCGTACATGCTTGCAACATTGTCCAGGGATATGTCCTTCAGCCAAAACATAGGCTAGTGTTGGACAACCAATCGGAATCCCAAACAGGATGGAAGATGCACATTAAATTATTCAATTCTTTATTTTGAACGGGCAGAGATTATAATAGCTAACCTGTGCTATTGTATACTCGCAGAGTCGCTTTAGAGCCTCCAATAGATACTGATCGGCCGCCCGGAGCAGATCTTGAGCAACATCTAGGGCAACATTTACGGACCCCGTGTATATGAATCTGGCATAAACAAATCACCCCAGGAATGTAAATTTTCATTTCAAGTTGGGTAGAATGCATTTTCTGGAGTTGGGAATTTGTTTATTGGACCTCATCATCAACTCGAAAACTTCCCATCTAATGTTTGGAATTTCAATATCCCTTGCATCCTTTTCCTGCATAAGATTAATTTATGGAAGTCGGTCAGAAATACAAAATTGCGTCATTTTGAATAGTCTTATCAACAACTGTTGTTCACCAGAGTTCCTTGCTAAGGATAGCATGCATGCCTTAGCAACTATAGTCCTTAAGAAAGTATGAAAATTTAAAAAGATCCATTGAATAAATCATATATAGTGTGCACTGGAGGAAAAGGTGATTTTCAAGTTTTCTACGTGGTGCCAGATTACAAAGAGGAAGGTTGATTGCATAAGTTATTCTCTATGCCAAGATCTAAACAGCAGAATCTCTTAACCTTCCTCGAGCCAGAATTAAAGAAAAGGAAATATTTCAAAAACTAGCAACTGCACACATACCCGGTAACCCCCATCGAACATTGCACGGAATGCATCTGACGAAGCCAGTAAGCAAATTCTGTGTGCATAGAACCGTCTTCCTGCAAGGAGAACGTAGGAGAACTTCATGTGTAATTTGCCACCAGAGGTTGCAATACGACAATAGTCTAAATATTATACAGAAGTACCGTTGCCTTAATAAATAATGTAGTTAACAACCTTCAACTAGAAAGGTGACATCAGATAGTGTAGCGTTGTTTACATATTGCTCCCCCAAATAAACCTGCCATAGGATAAAATCCAAGACAATTACCATCATGTTTTAACAAAGCACAGATCAAAATAACATTTCCTTGTGAAAATATATGCATTCCTAAAGCATGTAGTTCAAAATATAAAAAGAACAACATATGGTACCATGAAAAATTGCATCAATGACAACCATCACGTGATGAACACCAAAAGCTACCTGCGGGGTTGGAGAAGGTGGAGCTGCATCTACTGGAGAGAGTGTCATAGCTTTGTTGGCCAACTTGTATAGAGCAATAGCTCCATCAAGTTGCTGTTTCATGTTTGCAGAACCAAGAAGCCCCAACAATAACTCCAATCCTACATATAAATTCAAAACCCATCAGCAGCACAACAACTGAAACCAACCATTGATAGCACCAAAAAGAACAAAATTATTGACCATTTTCAAGCTAAACTTGCAAGCTCTCTAGCACTACTTACCTCCGTTATCTACGAAAATTAGTCTCTGATCATCAGGCGCACAAAGATGAGCCAGAGCCAATGCAACCCGTCGTTGAACAATCTTTTCAGCTACTCGCATTAGATATAGCAAATGCTTCAACACCTATGCAGGAGGGTTTCGTACGACATATAAGTTAATGTGAAATTGAAGATATAGATAGTTATAATAGAAATTTGTTCGAATAAGACAACACACTCGTCCTTGAATCTTCTCCTCTAATCTCTTCACTGTCTTGGCCACACAATCTTTCGTAGCCTGGAGTAAGGAATATGATGGACGTAATTACCCAGTGTGAAAGAAGTAATCGGAAGGGAAAAGGTCAATATCACACTCGAACAAAAACAGCTTTGAGCTGCCATATGAACACCAAAATTCACAAAGTGAAACAAAATAACCAATGAACATTACTTGGACAATGAATTCTCCATCCTGAAGCTTCTGGACACCTCCCACTCTAATAAAATCAGACACATTATCCTGTTCCATAGAAACAAAGAGACTGAGATTTATTCCATCAACTAATAAATAATGCTGAAACCTACTAAAAGTTGTTCTCGAGTTACAAGAAACCAAAAGCAACTAATACCTCATTATCGGCAAGACCATACAACGCAAATGCTGCATTATGTTGCAACGACCCATTCTTCGAGTCAAGGAGCTTCAGTAATGGTACTAAACCACCATTGTGAGCTATACCAGCTTGGTTGTGCGGGTCCTAAAACGGGAAAAATGGCTAGTTTAATGAAGGACTTAAGCTGCAGAAATTGAGCTCCAATTTCACATTAGAACAGAGACTTGTCTGACTACATAACTTTGATGCCATTGGTCTAAACTTCAGTTTCAGTGAACAGAAACCTATCCTTACTACATAATTCATATATAATTGCCCTAAACTTGAGTTTCAATTAAGGAAGCAACTCATATAAACAAGTTGTAACCTGAGCCACTCTCCCTAATGCAAAGGCTGACATTTCACGCAACTGTACATCAGAAGATTGGAGCATCTCAATCAATGGTCCAACTGCACCTCTTTGCACAATGTGAACCTGCAAACAGCATTTATTGAGACACTGAAGACAAAAGTGACAGCAAAAAAGGGGGAAGTAGAGACCAAAAAGAATATGATTATGCAACTTAGCAAATAGCAAACGATTTATCTACCATGTAAGGAGAGATTGACCTTGAATGGTGAAATAAGAATTAAACTGCATAGACCTTAACTTCGACCAAAAATTCAATTTGAAAACCGAGTTTTAAACTACCTTGCAATCTGAATCTGTTGCAGCAAATTGGCCAAGTAACAAAGCTGCCTCTCTTTGACTCTCTGAGCAACACGAGCTGTTTCGAATGAATACATTTAGAAGTTTGAAAACCAAAATCAACTTGAAATAAATACATATCGATAAGGATAGGCTAATAAAAGAAGGTTGACCAATCCAGTTATTCCTAGTACCACTCAATACCGTTTAAAGGTAAGGTTACTAAGATATAGCTCTACACACACCTAAGCAAGCCAATGACAGGTTGTATAGCCCCGGCGGCAAGCACTTCTTTCTTTATGTTTGGGGAGGAATGCACCAGATTCCCAATAACGCCAACCTGCAGCATGTGACATTCCATTGATAAGCAGAAAAGTGGAATCCAAAACAATCAAAGGTTATACTACAGAAGCTATGTAGACTGGGCACCATAAATAGCATACCGCTTCATAATGTATGGCTGCATCCTCAGACCGCAGCATTAAAATGAGAGTAGGAAGCGCACTACATTCAACAATCTGCACTATTTGGATTACCTTCATTAGACCTGATTCTCTCTAGCAGAAAGTTATGCTATTCAAAAGATCCATCACCTGATTTTTGTTCTCGTCGTTTTTAAATGCAAGAGTTCGCAAAGCACCAGCGGCTGCCCTTTGCACCTTTGTGTCGGCGAATTCTAGCAACTCGACAAGAGGCGGAATTCCTCCTTCCCTCCTGTAAGTACATTCCCAATCACCATGAGGAGAAATAGGACGCCAAGTTCAGAGATAATTTCAGTTGACACCTAAAACAAGCAAACCTAACAAGTGTCTTAATGTTGCTGTTCTCATGAGCGAGGTTGGTAATTGCATCGGCGGCTCTTCTAACCACACTAGTCACAGCTCGAGTTGTTCCCTCGGTGTGCCTCTTTAGCAAGTCCACAAGATGAGGTAAGGCTCCATGGTCAACTATGAGTTGCTGATGCTCTGGCTGTATGGGCAAAGCATAGCATAAGAAGTGGGATTCTAAAGTAGAAGAAACAGCTGGGCTGGCAATTATATTTATGTGTATAGCGTCACCAAACAAAGAACCTTCAACTAGCAGATACCTCTTCATCAAGGGTGTATCTCCAAAATAAAATATTCGCCATCAGCATCCAAAGTCTCAGTAATGATTCTACCTTCCCGTATTTCAACAATTCAATTACGACATAACATTTCCTAAATCAAATCTCCCCAGAGATCCCACGCACAACTAATCAGCATTTCGTCGGGACCAGAAATCAGACTATCTATAACACAACTAATGGAAAAATTCATACTAGGAAAAACACGATCTCTTTGTACGCCACGAATTACATGTAATTAACAAGCCCTAGCAAATCAACTCCATCATAGGTAAATAGCAGGTCCTTGAAAGTAATATTGTTCGTCAATTGAGCATCGGTTGGAAAATTAGCAAGCAGAACAGAATCAGTTAATCAATTGACCTTGACGGCAAGCAATCCCAGAGCGAAGGCACTGCCCTTCTCGACTTCATGCTCGAAAGGCCTCACGCTCCCATCAACTTCAGTTATCGGCGGTGATTGAAGATGCTTCACCAGAGCCGGAACAGCTCCCCCTTCGACAATCACGTTCACTACCTCATCTGAAAGAGAACCAAAAAAAACACAAAATCAACAAGCAGAAGTCAGTCAGATTACTGAATCGTAACAGAGCATGCAGAATCGGAAACGCAAACAGAAGGATCTCGAATTTCCAGTGCTGGAGAGTAAAGGTCCGGGAATTGGCAAAAACTGAAGCACGGAAAAAGGAAAAGCGAGAAATGAGTTCCACCGTTTTTAGCAAGGTCGGCAAGGACATGAGTGGCGCGCTTGGCGGCAGCTCGATCTGCCTCTTGCCAAGAGAAGGCCGAGTCGAGGATGCTGACCTGGAGAGCTACCTCCGACAGGATGGCGCGGCGAGCGTCGGAGGAGACCGGCGACGGTGAGATCCCCGGCTGCTCGTCTTTGATTTCCTCCTCCAGTTTCCGCTTCTGCCCCTTCCGCTGCGGCAGGCCCTGATCTTGGCGCTTCTGCAGCTCCATCGACGTGGAGGCACAGATACACAGAAGTACGCAGCACAAAAGCGGAGGCGCAGCAGCCAAAAAGGAGGAAAGGGGTAATCGGAAATCGGTATTGGTAATTAGGAGGGGGATTTTGAATGGATTGAAGGAGATCACGAGATGAGAGGGGTGTTTTGGGGATTTGGCATGTGAAAAACGGGGTCGAGCCATTTCCGGCCATTTTCTTTTGTTTTTGTTTTTAATAAAATTTTGCCCACCTCTTTTGTGTGCGACTGTGCGCTTTGGTGATTTCCTCTTTCGTTTCTTTTTCCTTCCTTGTCTATCGCTCTTGTTTGTTGATGTTCATTTAATTTTTTTTTTAAATATCATAGATTTGAACAATACATCATTACATTTTTTGACAGAAAATAGACGCCAATGTCGTTTAACTCATATTAGGAACATCACGATCCATGGTAGTCTCCATGGTATTATAAGAGAGCCAATACAAGAGGTTCAGGTCGCACTCATCGAACAGATGTGTCCCAAAAGGAAACAAGTGACCCCTACTAGCCAAAAAATCGGCTGCACAATTACTTTCTCTATAAACATGTGAGATTCTAACATCCCACTCGATATCAATATGCTTGACTAACAAGTCATAGATATGATTGGTGTCCTTCCTATTTTTGATGAGAGCAACTGCCGTGGAAGAGTCCAGGTTCAGTTCAACCTTCCTGCAACCCTTATACAAGGCAATTTTGAGTCCTTCAGCCGCTCACTTGAGTTCAGCACGAGTAATTGAGCATACTCCCATATTGCTGGTGAAGGCTCCTTTGCACCTTCCTAGATGATCACACAAAAGACCTCCTACAGCCGCTTTCTCTATAGATCCATCGAGCCGTCAGTCTAAACTTGGATCCATCCCTCATGCGGGGCGACCAACCAATTTGTTGGGTGTTGCAGTCTCTTTGTGCTGGTAAAGTGCTCTGTTTATCATTCTCAATGGTTTGGTTGTTGATTCGGAACCAGAAATTGATCATGTGTATAGTCTCAATCTTAGAAAATGACTTTCCTTCCATAACAACCTCATTTCTTTCCTTCCACAGTAGCTGACAGATAAGTCCGAACTCAGTTCTAGTCTTCTCAGCCTGAAGATTCCTGGAGAGCCAGCACTAGAAATCGACATTCACGTTCTTCTCCTTGAGCATGTTTCTGAAGTGATTCCAGACTCTTGTTGTCTCTGCGAAATTACGGAGGATATGACCAACAGTCTCATCCACCCCGATGCAATGATCACAGTTTCCATTGTTGGAGATTTTGCGCCTTTCTCTTTCCTTGTTGGTAAGGAGCCTGTTATGTGTTGCGAGCCACAGGAAAAACTTGACACGACTAGGGACTTTCCATTTCCACAGCTCCTTCCAATTCTTCTCACCATCCCTTTCATTGTTCCCTACATCAAGATTATAAGCCGAGTCCTGGTTTTGGGCTATCCTTCCCTGTGATATGCAAAAGAATTTCATCAGGTAGGTAGGATCTTAATTTTCTCCAGTCCCACTCACCTGATTCATCGGTCCAGTCATCATCAGAGGTGAGTCGTTCTGAGTCAGTTAACGTTCTTGTGGAGAATTCTTCAAGAATCACTCCTTTCTCCAGCCATGGATGGGTCCTGAACCTTGTAGTTTCACCATCTCTAACAGTTCATATAATTGCTTGCTTTATCAAGGCCATAGCTTTCACAATTGCTTTCCAGAGGTTGGAATGGTTGCTCTTCTTCATGGCTGCAATCTTCCATTCTTGTGGTAAAAAACTAAAAATACTTCCTTTGTAGAACCTGCACCCAAAGATCATTCTCGTTATTCAGTACCTTCCAGGCTAGCTTAATAGCATCACAAACTGATACCTCCTTGGTTTTTAGGTTTACAAATAGATTCCCAATTCACAAGGTGGACTTTTCTTCTCCCAGAAAAACTTCCCCACACGAACCCTCTAATCCTACCATCAATAGCATCACAAACTGATGCTGGGAGAACAGAGGTCTATATTGCATAGGAGGGGATAGAATTCAGGACAGAAACTACAAGGGTGGCTCTCCCTGCGAGGGTGAGTGTTCTTGCTTTCCAAAACGAGAGTTTTTGGTCAATTTTGTCTAGGTCTAGGATATACCGATAAGTGTTGCGATTCAATCTGCCATGTAAAACAGGCACACCTAGGTATCTACCTAGATCACAAGTAGCCTGTATGCCCATCCTATTACTACGTTCCACATCCCTAGTATTCTTAGAGAAAAAGACTCTAGATTTCTACTTACTAAGCATCTCTCCTGAAGCATCACAGAACTCATTCATGCAATTAAGGATCACTCCAACTTGTAAGGTACTAGCTTCTAAGAACAATACAAGATCATCGACGAAAAATAAAAGAGAAAGAGCAGGACCCCCCTAGACAGTCTAATAGGTTTCCATCCTTTTTCATTAACTTTCCTAGTGATACTATGGCCAAGCCTTTCAATACAAAGCATAAAGAGATATGGTGAGAGAGTATATCCCTGTCTTAACCCTCTGCTAGGCTTGAAGGTCTCTGTTTCACCACCATTCCACAACACTTGCAGTTTTGTTGAGCCAACACACTGCATAATTGCTTGGATACATGCTTCAGAAAATCCAGCAAGTCTTAGAGTGTCTTACAGGAATTTCCAGTCTATTCTATCATACGCTTTAGCTAAATCGACTTTGAGAAGCATCAGCCCTTTCTTCCATGTCTTCTTAGCCATGAAATGAACAGTTTCCTGCAAAATCAAGATATTATCAGTTATGTGTCTGTTGTGAACAAAATTGGATTGGTTAGCATAAATAAGTTGGGGCATTAGATTCTTAAGCCTGTTGGCTAGGATCTTCGCCACCACTTTATACCCAACAATACATAAACTAATGGGACGAAAATGGTTCATTGAGGTAGGAACTTCAATCTTGGGTATAAGGGTCAGCAAGGTTTCATTAATGGCTTCAATGTTGCTGGGATTTCTGAAGCAGTTAGTGATGAAGAGGCAGAAATTCTCTTTAATCACTTCCCAACACTTATGGAAAAAAATGGCTTGGAAGCCCTCCTTTCCAAGAGCCTTCAAGCCATTCATTCCCATCATTGTGGCTCTTATCTCCTCCATTTTGGGAACTCTGCTTATGTTATCAGCAATGTGAGGGTCGATGGGAGGAAAGTCTGCAACAATCTCTGGTATATTCTATCTTTATGCTCTCGTATAAAGCTTGATGAAGTGGTCCCTAGCCATGGTATGTAGGTCTTCTGGACTTGTAACCCAGTTCCCCTCATCATTATCAGTGCAAGGATCTTGTTCCTCTTTCTTCTACTCATAGTGCTCTGATGGAAGAATCTTGTGTTTCTGTCTCCATGGAGAATCCAATTGGCCCGTGATTTTTGCATTCACAGCAGTTCCTCCTGCCAAAGGGCATTTTCAAGCTGTTCCCTGATAATCTGCTCCAAAGCTAGAGAGTTTCTGTTAGCAGCTCATTCATTCAGGATCTCCAGTCTTTGAAGCTTGTTGGTGAGCTTCTTCTTTCTTTGGAAGATATTTCCAAAAACAGTCTTATTCCATTCTTTCACTTTCTTTGAGAGATCCTGCAAGGCAGAGGGAAGAGCATTATCTTTATGCAAAACAAAGGAGACAAAAGGAAATAATTCTTCATGAGCCAGCCATGGGGCAAGGAAATGAAAACGTCTCACCAATGTGTTCTTCTTTGGAAGGGTGGTGTTGCAGGTAAGAATCGGTATGTGGTCTGACTTGAGTTTCGTCAAATGGAAGACTGTGGACTGAGGGAACTGTTGGTTCCATTTCTGGTTACACAAGCTCCTATCGAGTCTCTTTCTGATCTTCGACTTCTTAGTAAACCAAGTAAACTGAGGTCCCTTGAACACAAGATAAAGAAGATGACACTCATCAATGAATTCGTTGAAAGCTCTAGCTTTAGCAAAGCTAAAGGGAGCTCCACCTTGTTTATCGATTGGTCTGGTAATTGAGTTGAAGTCCCCTATCAAAAGCCTTGGTTCCTAGACTCTTCTTTCAGTTCTTCTGAGTTGCCTCCACAATTCACCCCTTTTAAATTCATTAGGGCTAGCGTAGACAGCAGTAATGAGTCCAACATCCTTACCATCAATCGAGCATCTGAGGTGGATGAATTGTTTATGCACATCAACCCTCTCCAAGTGCAATTGCTTGTTATCCCACATCACTCAGATCCCTCCACTGTAACCAATCGCATCTGAAACTTCCCAAGAATTGAAGCCTAGAGATTTGATAACCTCTATGGCATCCTTCCACTTATTCTTGGTTCCGTAATGCACAACACGTTAGGCAAATGAATACTCTTATAGTATTCCTTAGTCGAATGAAACTTTGGGTGTTTCGCACCCCCAAAATTTCAGGCAAAGACTTTAATCATAAGATGGAATGAAAAGTCAACATGTTCGAGCTCAGTAAGAGGAAAAATCAATGTTTATCGACGGCCATTGCTGTCCCTTCAGACCTAGGTTCAACATTGCTACTGGATACCTGGATATTGCTCGCATTGTTTGGCTTGTTCGATTTTGTCCCTAGTTTAGTGCCAAAATCAATCGTTCTTTGGAGACCAATCCCCACATATGAAGTTTTCTTACTCTGTGTATGGGCTTCCCTGCTCCTGTCAGCATCCCTAGGTGATCTCATTTAACCTGGCCAGAATATTAAAGAAACGACACGTAGTCGGGTACAATGAAAGGGTCTTTCTAGCCACCATATGGACTACCCTATTACTACTCCGACCTACAAATCGCACATTAAGCCTAATGTGAATAGCCAAACAGAGTCCAACTTCCTCAAGGATGACTCTCATCCGAATATCTCGAGTATCAACCTGATTTAATTTATCAATGATCACTTTGACATCTCCTTCCCACCTCGTCTCCGTAAACTGATTCTCCAGACACTAGAGAATAGTCTCCCTAGGAACGAGAATCTAGACTACCTTAGGATCATCAATATCAGCCCTTTTACCAAAGGATCATCCCACCTTGGTTCATGGTAATCATTCCCCTACTTAGTGGAACCCACTCTTAATTGCCTC